AGGAAGATTTCTAACACACTTCACTACACAAAGATATAAAAATGAGGCATCGTGCAATGAAGTCATCAATCAATAGAGCATGAATAGTAATAATGTCACTGTACATACAGTCCATTAGTAGATTATGTACTGATTACCAATTGTTGTCATCCCTGTCTTAAGATCACCTGACATCTCCCTGGAAATGGACTGCTCTATGTCATACTTGCATATCTAAAATTAGTAACAATCATTAGAGATTAGAATACATTGAGCATAAGAACACAGTCAACTCACACATACATGTGTACATATGTACATGTACATGTGAATCCTCTATCCTCACTTTTGAGTATTCTTCAAAGACAAGACGAAGATGAGCATAACTTCTAGCACACAGAATCTGATTAAACCTGTCATGATAATAAATAATAATAATAATAATAATAATGATAAATTACACAATAACTACACAAATTCAAACATCTCTAAGTCCTAATTTATATTGCTATGCAACAATTCATTATAGGAAATGGCTTAAATTGAATAAAATAAATGTCAATACTGGAATGTAAAGGAGAAAGGGAGAGGAGGAGGAGGAGGAAAGAGCACAACATGAGTAGGACTGCAAGAGTCATTTCAGTTGCATTATATCATCATCATTCATAATGTTCATCATAACATATCTTTACTCTCTCCTCCTCCTCCTCCTCTCTCTCCCTCTTCTACTTACGTTGATTCATCTGTTCCCCACTTTCCCTCGCCAGCTTTATAAAGAGCCTATAACAATACAATGATGTACATTACTAATGCTAGCTACATGTACAGGCTAGTGATGACTATTGTACTAATAAATATCACTGCTGACCTGAGCATCTTGCCTAGCTCTGCTTTTATCAACAATACTGTCAGGATCACGAGCAGCCTAAGATAATAAAACAATGTATCCAATAGAATATCCAATAGTACCTCATGCTCTCTCTCTCTCCTACATTTATAATAAATATTGATAATTCATATAAGTATTGTTTTCTATCACCCTCTCCTTTAAAATTAATATTTTTTATTTTTGTAACTTCTACACAACCACTACTAATATAGTAAATAATAGAAAATGTCACATAACTATTAATGCTAGTATTTTGTGCCTTTGCTTATTATAGTGATAGCGACCACTCTCTCTCTCTCTCTTACAGCAGTGAGTGATATCAACAGTCTCCTAAAGTGGCCAGAAGTTTCACTGTGAATGTGCTTCTCTAAATCTTGTTTATATTCTAATAAAAATGGAGTCATGGTAATAA